TGCTCTGCTACTGAACCCGTATTGCTAATTCCCCCTAGATTTGTATTTCTATAAATACAACATGTAAGATTCAATTCCCAGTCATGTACCCTGGCGCATGAGCAAATCGGATAATACAGAGCAGGTCTGAGAGCAGAGCCCAACAGTTTTTGTCAGTTGGAGCAATATACAAAAGCCATTTATTCCCAGGTGGGCAGCTAAAAAAAGGAAAACGTCCTTGGTCCACAAGCAAACAAAAGAATGAAAGCATTTATCCGGAGATGAGCTGGCAGCCCTACTGCACACTCATATTCCAGCTTGTCTCTGAAGAGACCTCTGAAGCTCACTCAATTTCAGTCCTTAGGCTAAGTTCCAATCTAAGACCCTCAGGTTCAAAATGCCTGGCACACCTAAGATTGAACATTTCCAAAGGGGTAACTGTCAATCCACTTTTTCCATATTCAAATTACACCAGACCCACACATATCCGAATCGGTATATGAAGAACAACTTTGGCATTTCTCATTTACACCAGTAGTAGGCCTTGCTCTTTGTGTTTGTCCCTGCCTAATTCATTGATTCCATTATGCAGATTAAATAGGTCACAAATGTCGATAGCTACAGGCACACTTTGTTTGTTTTTTAAAGGGGGAAAAACCCTTCCTGCCCAAGAAATGTGCCAAAAGAACAAAGTCAGTGTTCTGGTTGTGTAGTGTTCTGGTTTTGTGCAAATCTGAGGGATCCAAGGGGGGGGGGGAATGGATCCCTCTGTTCAGGGGCACACCAGTAATAGTTATGAGCATGGTTAGAAAGGAAACGAAAACACTGAGGAAGGGGTGGGTGTGGAAAGGGGTGGAGCAGAAAATGAGAATTGATTCATCCACCCAAACACACCCAAACACACCATCTGCACTCCCAAGTGGTGTGGTTTGGATCCAGTGAAATTTTTCGTAGGGGAACAGTTAGGGCTAGGGGCATCAGCTTGCGAGGGTGACTGTGGGAGTGATGATGTCCTCCCCAAGGTGAGCAGAAGCTTCCTGGGCTGGGCGGGCTTTGGGAAGGTTGTGGAAGGACTCTTGGAACCACAAGAGCATCACACCTCCCTCAGCCAGGCAGAAACTTCCTGGGCTTTGGGAAGGAGGCAGCAAGCTTTAATACTTTAATATTAGTGGGATGCGGGTGGTGCTGTGGTCTAAACCACAGAGCCTCTTGGGCTTGCTAATCAGAAGGCCAGCAGTTCAAATCCCCGTGACAGAGTGAGCTCCCGTTGCTCTGTCCCAGCTCCTGCCAACCTAGCAGTTCAAAAACACACCAGTGCAAGTAGATAAATAGGTACCGCTGTGGCGGGAAGGTAAACGGTGTTTCCGTGCACTCTGGTTTCCGTCACGGTGTCCTGTTGCGCCAGAAGCGGTTTAGTCCTGCTGGCCACACGACCCGGAAAGCTGTCTGTGGACAAACGCCAGCTCCCTCGGCCTGAAAACGAGATGAGCGCCGCAACCCCAAAATTGCCTTTGACTGGACTTCACCGTCCAGGAGTCCTTTACCTTTACCTCAATCATCTAATTTACCAGGAACATTTAGTGGACTATCCTAGTCGCCCTAAGTCCACTGACCACAGGCCACTGTTTGGATCCCGATTTAACCCCAGCGCAGTGGATTATCCCCATATCCTGCAAACTCAGATTTATAGGGGGAAAGCATTGAGAATGCTGTTGTTTGAGGATCGTATCATGCGGACTACGCAAATTACACGGAAATGCAAACAGCTGCAAGCACCTAGGGCCAGATTCAACTAACAAGTCTGTCCAGCAGAAGTCTGTGCAAGGACTTCCACTAGTGCAGTGGAGCTTCCCCCATTCTCCTCTGCCCCAGGGGCAGAGGAATGGAGGAATGAGTGCGGTCTGTCTCAGGTGTCACCACTGAGGGGTGTGACAAAAGGCCGAGCGGCACTCACCGCAGGGCCTGCAGCGCCCCTGAGGAGTTTGGATTTGATATCCCACTTTATCACTACCCTAAGGAGTCTCAAAGCGGCTAACATTCTCCTTTCCCTTCCTCCCCCACAACAAACACTCTGTGAGGTGAGTGGGGCTGAAGAGACTTCAGAGAAGTGTGACTAGCCCAAGGTCACCCAGCAGCTGCATGTGGAGGAGCGGAGACGCGAACCCGGTTCCCCAGATTGCAAGACTACCGCTCTTAACCACTACACCACACTGGCTCTCTCCTGGGAGAGACGCGGTGGCTTGGGCGCACTACAGGCTCTGCTCTGCCCAAATGATCCGCCCACTGCCTCTCCCCCAGCTGCAGGGCGGCTGAGTGGGAGGAGGCAGGCAGACTCTGGAGGCCCTGCGGTGTGTCCCACCCTCACCCTGCCCCTATGGACGGCTCGCTCCGCCACTGCTCTGCCCATGCATCACCCATGTCCCACCCCCAGATGGACCCCGATGGACCTAGGAGAACCCACAGAACAGTGTGCAGAGGGAGGAGAGTGTGTGTTGTTCCAACTGAAACATTTAAGCTGACAAAATGACCCCCCCCCACACACACACACAGGGCTACAACAAATTCTTCCCATAGTAAATGCCATTGTCTGTGTTGTAGAAAGGGGAGGGGGGGTCACAAAGAGTCTTGTGGCATCTTAAAGGTTAACACATTTATGCCTCCAGAAAATTTATGCCACAAAAAATCGCTAGCTTTTAAGGTGCCGCAAGACTCTTTCTAATATTTGAAATTTATTGCAATGAAGTCTAAATGCCGGGAAAACATCACTGATGCAGATTAAAACATCTTGTTGATGAATCATGTTGTGTGACATTGGTCATTCTCATGCTAGCCAGCAAAAATTCTGGGTGGGCACACATCTTGGCCAGCGCTGGGCATGTGCTTGCTAGCAAATTCGTGTCAGTTTGAGTATTAAAGGCACACATGTTTATTGTTTAAGCTATTTTGGATTTGGGTGGGAGGTAGGGGTGGAAATGTGTCAGGGATGACCTCTACTCCGGACTATGAGGGGTGGGTTTGGTTTAATAAATTGAACAATGACCTCACTTTGGTGCCACAAAAAGGCACAATGAAATTTGGGCGATGAGCAGAGTACTTTCACTGTTGTCAGGTACCCTAGTTAAAAGTCTGGTGGCTAATCACCTAAGCATCCTGAGATTGGTTGGCAAAGCTAATAAACATAGAGCGACACAAATAAAATTAAAATAGCCAGTGACCTAAACTGACACAGTTCGAGTGGCAGGCTGTATCCTTGCCTGACCGTAAGCCCCATGAAGACAATGGGACTTACTTCTGAGTAAACGTGCCTAGGATCCTGCTGTCAAAATCTCTCCCACCTTTTCAGACCCTCTGATTGAATGTGCGGCACTGCAACGGCAGTTTCTTGCCTTTAAATATGTTGATGCCTTTCATGAAGCAACAGAAGGACAATGTGCCCATACCAAGCCATGCTCCTTTTGTGCCATGCCCCCTACGGGCGAGGAATGGCATTGCAAACCGTTTGGGGGGTTTATTTATTTATTTAAGGGAGCGGAGAAAACAGGAAATGTTTGCGATTATATGACTGTTAATGATCACCCCAATCACAGATAAGCATTTTCCTAGGGTTGTTTTTTTTTAAAAAAAAAATTCCTTAACGATTTAAAAACAAAAGCAGCAGTAATAGCTCGGAACAACTGGATTCCTCAATGCCCCAACCATTTTCAGCTGTTTGCATTGAGGAGGAGTGTTGCCTCAGGTGAAACGAGAAGCAGCTATGTCAGATTTTTAAACACTTAAAAAGTCTTTGGCTTGAAGTGATCTCTCTGCTTTGAATAGCCGCATGCCTCAGGCTAGGGAATCCAGATTTCTATTTCCTTGTGGGGTCACCAGGAGACTTTTGACAATGGAAGAGGAGAAAGCCCCAAGAAAGGGGATAGAAAACAGATGCTTGGGAGTGGGAGAGGAAACAGGAAGAATATGTATATAAACAGCAGAAAGGATGAGGAATGCAGAGGGGGGGGGACGAGGAGGAGGAGCAGCGCAACTGAAGCATGCCGCAATAAAATCTGCATTGCATCCTACAAACATTTTATTTGAAACGCAACAACACAGCAAGCATGGAGGGTCAAAGGTCAGGGTTTTTGGAGGGTGTGCGCATAGGTCCCCTGCAGGGCCCAGGGTTATTACCTTTTGTATAGAGGAATGTACATCCGGTTTTCAAGGATAAATCAGAACTTTAGAAACTCTTGAAAAACGTGCCTCGTGCTTTATAAGCAGTTCATGAATGCCATTCATTCTCCATAGACAGCACAGCTTGCAGTTAACACCTCCAAGTACTGGGCTGGTTCAATAAGGCACAGCGTGAGACTCGCCCTTTATTCCAGCAGAAAATTCAATGGAAATGGAGCGGCAGATATTCAAGAAACTAATTTTTTATAGTTTGTTGCTCTTGACAACAATCATTTGTGTGTGCAGCAGAGGCGTGCTTAGGAACACAAGTGCGCTGAAAGAAATGCGTTAATTAAATGAGAAAGGCTCCTTTCAATCACTGTGTTTCAGAGCAAGCAATCCATTGACCATCTCTACCTTAGAAGTGATCAAGTGTGAACATACACATGTCTACTCAGAAGTAAGTCCACTGAGCTCAATGGGACTTACTCCTAGTAAGCATGTACAGGACTGCAGCCCCAATCGCATCTGATAGAGTAAGCATGTACAGGACTACAGCCCCAATCGCATCTGATAGAGACCTTCCAAAATTATGTATCCTCAGATGATTCCACTTGTGTCCCTGCTCTTTTCGGTCTCTCTGGGTAGACAAGTCAAGCGTCCCCCAAACCCACATTTTAATTTAGGTGTGGGAAATGTGGTATTGGTTCATGCCATTTTAAGTCAAAGTTGCTAGGCAATCCCAGAAAATTTCCCCCTTAGACTTGAATACACCTCAGTATGTACACACGTGTGTGTGTGTGTGTGTGTGTGTGTGTGTGTGTGTTTGCATGCAGCGCCCAATTTAAGGAGGCTCAAAAGCATCGTCTTACCTGGATCGTGAAAAGGGACCAGTGCAAAGTTGTAAAGCGGTCTCTTGGGTCTCTTCAAAGAGGTCTCCAGAATTTTGGACGCTCCCTCAATCACCTGAACTAAGTCATCATACATCGAGCCAGTCACGTCAAACACAAAAGCCAAGGTAGACGCTCCCTCCGGGATCTCTTCATCCGTGGTCTGAGGCTCCAGTTCTACCACAGCATCTTGTGCGCAGCAAAGAGAAAAAAGGAGAGCAACAGCTAGTGATGCCCTCAGGGGGACATTGTGATGGGAATTCATTTTTCTTCCTCCTCCTCCTCCTCCAGGGTACCTAAGCAATGCGCTCAGTTCCTCCACACTAAGCATCACAAAGGATCCCGTCTGGTTGCATTTGATCTTTCCTTTTGCAAAGCAGCAGAGTCAAAAAATCCTTTTCCTCCCCTTTTCTTGGGTTTTTTTATCTTGCACAAAGCACTTTTCACAGACTCAAGGGAGGTAGAGAGAGAAAGAGGCAAGGGGAATGAGGCAGTCCTTTTTCCTTTTTTGCTAGCAAGTTGCTGGTTCTTCTTCCCTTCCCCAGTCTACTTGTCTGCAAGAGTTTTGGCAGCCTCACGCCAAGCGAAGGGAGAGAGAGTCCAATTCATGTCCCCTGTGCAGCTGCTGCTACTTCTGCCGCTGCCGCCTCTGGATTCTTTGGCAAGAGGCAGAGCCTCTCCAAAAGTTCGGCTGCTGTAAGGGAGTCTTTGGCTAGAAACTGAGGCTTCTCCCTGCTGCTGCTGCTGCTGCTGCTGTTGCTGCTGCTGAGGCAACAAGGAGTGGATGCTCAGCCCAGCTCGCCTTCTCATTGGTCTGTCCCACTTCCCCACCTTTGCCTCCTAGGCCCCCTTTTAGGGTGACTTGTTGAAAATGGTATTTAGGGTCACACGAGTGCCGCAAAGGCACTCAAGGCAAATCTCTTTCATATGCAGTAATGAAAACACAGGCACGGTTGTGATTCAGTTATGGAGGAAATATTTGCAGGGGGGCAGGGAAGGAGGCACCTTTCCCCTGCTTCCTTTTATCAGAGATTGTTTAAATACACTTAAAGCAATGGGTATCCTTTTTGCCACTAGAGAGTCTGCCCCCCCCCCCGCCCCACTTCCTGCCTCCAGTAATTTGAGCTCAACCAGGCATAGATTCTTTGGTAGAGAAAATCACACTCCAAAAGGCATATGGTGGGTTCCCTTGCCGCTGCCTATATTGTGATATTTCGCAGCAAGAGAGGTTTTGGCTGAGATCGGAGGACACGGTGAGCACTGATTGCATTTGTACTCGCTGCTACAAATGGCAGTTTGGAGCCCGCAAGCCTTCTTCCCCTTTGCAAAATGCATTTGGCTTTCATAAATCCATTTTGGGTTGGTTGTTGTTTTGTTTTTTTGCAGATTCGATTTTTAATCAGAAGGTACGTTGTTCCCTCCTTATTCTCTGCAGCCATGCTAAACATTTCCCCTGCTGCTGAACATAGGAAGATTCCTTGCATCCAGTCAATGATCCATGTAGACCAGTATTGTATAGCCCCCATCGGTGGTGAACTTGTCAAGATCTTCCTGGACTTTATTTCCAATCCGCCCCAGACAGCATGGCCAATCCTCAGGAAGGATTGGAGTTCCCCCACGTACAGTGGTACCTCGGGTTAAGAACTTAATTCGTTCTGGAGGTCCGTTCTTAACCTGAAACTGTTCTTAACCTGAAGCACCACTTTAGCTAATGGGGCCTCCCGCTGCCGCCATGCGATTTCTGTTCTCATCCTGAAGCAAAGTTCTTAACCTGAAGCACTATTTCTGGGTTAGCGGAGTCTGTAACCTGAAGCGTCTGTAACCTGAAGCGTCTCTAACCCAAGGTACCACTGTACATTGTTGGGTTACCACAGTCTCCTCAACCCTGGTCTAGAAAGCATGAAGTTATGACAATTCTTAGACCCAATATGAACCGGAACCCAATACTTCAGAGGTGTAATGACAGGGAAAAGATGCTGTTCTTATTGTCTCCTGTTCTAAGGATATTTGGTGGTTTGGTGCAGGACCCACAAAGGGGTAACGTGCCACAGTGTACATGTAATAACCGCTTGGGTAGCCAGTCATTTGTATCATCTGTCAAGTGGTGAGGAGCCTTTTTCCAACGTGCATCAAGTTTGCAAGTGCAGCAAACGAAACATCACATATTTATGCTTTTATAAATGATGGAACTTCTTATTATTAGCATGGCCAAGAGCTGGCTGGATGAGGCATCCAGAGCTTACTCAGTTGATTCTGACACAGCCCAGCATCTGCCAAGGACTGGCTGAGGTGGCAAAGTGGCTGTGGTCTATGGAATTCCATGCTGAAGGTATCTCATGTGCCAGACTTGCCTGCTGAAGAATGTCCCTGGAAGCCCGACAGATTTCAAGGCTGAACATATTGCAGAAGACATCTTTATTTGAACTAGATTTTCATGCTCTTCAGCAGGAATGGGATGATACAATTCTGGCACTACATTTATGGGTCTGATCCAATTTGGGAACTAATGTTGTTGCCTACACCAAGTTAGGGACACAGGTGGCGCTGTGGGTTAAACCACAGAGCCTAGGACTTGCCGATCAGAAGGTCAGCGGTTCAAATCCCCGCAACGGGGTGAGCTCCCGTTGCTCTGTCCCTGCTTCTGCCAACCTAGCAGTTTGAAAGCACCTCAAAGTGCAAGAAGATAAATAGGTACCACTCCAGGGGGAAGGTAAATGGCGTTTCCGTGCACTGCTCTGGTTCACCAGAAGCGGCTTAGTCATGCTGGCCACATGACCCGGAAGCTGTACACTGGCTCCCTCGGTCAATAAAGCAAGATGAGCACCGCAACCCCAGAGTCGGCCATGACTGGACCTAATGGTCAGGGGTCCCTTTACCTTTACACCAAGGTAGCGGTTGCTACCCTGAGCCCTTGGAAGCAGGGATGTCAGATTAGCGAGAAATTCAAATACATTAAATAAAAGTTACTGTATAGCCCAATTATATGTGAATTATACAATTCCCTCATGCAATCCTAGGTGGAAGGCTGCTTCCCATCCACATCCAATAACGAACTTGGCAACACTTCAGAGTCTAACCCTGTCTCACCAAATTATTATTAAGAACCCTGGAGTTGAGAGCTTCCATGCCCCCCTCAGATAATACAAGACCAGGAATTGTCACATAGCATGGGAAAGGGGCATAGCCTGTGGCCGTTACTCACACATGGGCAATGCCAGGCTCACTGGCACTGGGGAGCAAGATCACATTTTTAGCCCACCTTCCATGTCACATTTGTCTCATGCAACAACCATGGGTTGCATGCGGCTGTCTGTGCAGGTGTTCCAACTGAGCAGAACCCTCCTGGGCAAGCAAGAACTCACCTGTGGGGAATCACCTTACAGAGAGCCATGCACAATGTGCAGTTGCTGGAAGCAGAGACCATGACATCAGGGAGCAGGGCTAAAAACTTCCACTCCTCAATGGACACAGCATTGCCCTTGACACAGGTAATGTGTGCATAGGGCTTGTGCATTTCATAAAGTATAGCTGTCAAGCGTCCCTTATTTGGCGGGACAGTCCCTTATCCCAGCGCTGTGTCCCGCTGCTGTCCCTTATTGATGATGTCCCTTAAATTTCCCGGGTTTCAAAGGAAGCAGCTCCTCTCCCTCCCTCCCTGTCGGCCAGGGAGGAGGGAGGCTCCAACTGTGTTGCTTGGCTGCGTTGCTCACCCAATAAGAAGTCTAAGAACGACTGGGGGTGGAGCTTGCATGCCTTGTGCTGATCAAATCGGCTGCGTTGCCTGGGGACTCGCCTTTGTTCAGCGCTTCCCAGCGGAGAGGTGACGGTGGTTTTCCTTGAGGCTTGAGGCTTCGTTTGGCTGCTGGCTGGGCTTTCTGCCTTTAGCTCAGAGGGGCTCAGAAGTTGAACATACCTGTGTTCGGAAAATCCCTTATTTTGGCTGCTGATCCCTTATTTTCAAATCTGTAAGTTGAAAGCTATGTCATAAAGCAACATTGCATCATTAATCTTGCCAAGCGGTAAAAATATGAGCAACAGATATGTGGCAAAGCATGTGATAAAACACTAGTATAGACTCCATGTAGAACCAGGGAGCACGTTGCAGCCAAAAATTTAACTTTTATGTATTCAGTGGTTTGTGTTTCCCTGAGCTTGAGTCTGCATTCTGAGCCCCTGTGTTCTGATTTGATTCATGATATCCAGTCACAGAGCATTTCAGGATTTTGGCCTCCACCATTGGCCCTTAAACTCCGAGTTACGATTCGCAGTTTGGAAGTTTAGACAGCCTATCACGTTGGGAGTGGGAGTGGCCCAGGCCTTCAGAAATGTATATAAGCAGTTGCTTTGCCCCTGTTGTCCAGTTCTGTTAGTTCAATAAAAGTCCTTGCTATTATCACTGTGTCTTGCCTTGTGGAACCCACCTACACTTCATTAACACTGTTGTTATAATGCTTTCAATAAGAAAAGGATAAGCATGGGTTTAAGCTCCCACTCAAATTAATGGATGTAAAAGGTGCCTAACTTTGTTGTCTAGGGTTTTCAGGCTTGGCACTCTTCCGTAAGGAGATGCAAGCAGTGGAAAGGGGAGCTGGTGTCTCCCTATGATGCTTCCCAGACCAGGTTTTGTTTTACAGGCATTCCAAAAAAGAACGCTTTTGTCGAAGCAGCACAGACAACCGTGTGGAACAATATTCATTTTCTGTTTCACATGTGCTTCTGGAATTCAGTGCAGGGCCTGTGGCCCTCTAGATGTTTGCTCATAAAGGTAAAGTTACCCCTGCCCGTACGGGCCAGTCTTGCCAGACTCTAGGGTTGTGCGCTCATCTCACTCTATAGGCCGGGAGCCAGCGCTGTCCGCAGACACTTCCAGGTCACATGGCCAGCGTGACAAGCTGCATCTGGCGAGCCAGCGCAGCACACGGAACGCCGTTTACCTTCCCGCTGGTAAGCGGTCCCTATTTATCTACTTGCACCCGGGGGTGCTTTCGAACTGCTAGGTTGGCAGGCGCTGGGACCGAACGACAGGAGCGCACCCCGCCGCGGGGATTCGAACCGCCGACCATGCAATCGGCAAGTCCTAGGCGCTGAGGTTTTACCCACAGCGCCACCCGCGTCCCTATGTTTGCTCATATGTAGATGTAATATGTAGATGTCATCAGATTGTCATTCCCACCAGCCCCAGGCAACATGGCCAATGGGCAGAGATGATGGGAGAGTCACAGGTTATCCACAGAGAGAGTAGCTCCTGGCTCTTCAGTGCTGAGTATTGCATGCACCAAAACTCAGAAGACCAGAGACAAGGAGGGGTCCTATAGTCAGTCCTAGAGTGGAACTGGCTCATACTTTGAACTCATCTCCTTTAAAGCTAAGGACCCATGTGACATAGGTCACATGGGTCCTCCATGGCTTGATTTAAAACCCATGCTTTTAAATTAAAACTCATGTTTTTAAATCAGCCATTTTTCATGTTTCAAAGTTGAATTCAGTAGTCAGACAGGAAGCACAAATGTTTCCTCATCAAATTATGGATTCAGCAAGAGGGCTGTGGCATTACTTTCATCGGATAGCGTTGTGAGATTTTGGTTGGGGGTTTGTTTTTGTTCTTCTTCTGAAAAAGAATTCGTTATAATTGATTTTCAGTCCTCTGCCTTACATGCCTTAAAACAAGTAATTAGCTCCAGCACTCCAAGCCTCATCACTTTGTGACTGGAAAATTAATCATGAAGAAATCTCCCTTTTATTCTGATCAAGTTATAAAGCTTGGGATTGGTTTATAAAAAACAG